ACCCCTCCTGAAGAGGGGTGGAGCCCACTTCTGGCCAGAAATGTCTAAATCCTCTGGACTTTTTTTATAATAAATTTTCTTGATACTAAATTTTTGGTGTCAAGCCTATTTCTAACAGCAAGATGGACATGTCCAATCTTGGAGACTGCTTTGTGAATCAAAAGGTCAAAAGGCTCCTGGGTCCCTTAATTAACTAGAAGCAGAAAAAAAAATTCTGCATCGGAGAAGATGACCACTGACAAGAAGAGGCACCTAAACCCTAGCCTGACTTTCTAGAACACACCTACTTTGAGAGAGTACAGAACAAGGTAAAGCATAAAATGACTATTCAGCAGGACCACAAACTGCTTCATGTTCTGCTGTTTCAATATCAATCATCCCAGAGAGTATAACAGTAGTTATAAATTAAGTCTTCCTGTAAATGCATACGTATGAGTCTTTTGTGTGTTAAGTATTTCATTTGTGTAGAAGAAATAATTAACTTTATCATACCTTATTTACATTGTACATTGAGTACCTTTCTACCCCCCTCATTGGGAAGTTCTTAGAAATTCCCCAAAACCAAACTTTGAGAAAATTATTTCCCCCATGGCACCAGGGTGAGTATTTAATGAGCAAGAGAGTGAGAAAAGAAGCCTACTCCTTCTTGTAAGAGGTCAGGCTCCTTCATAATTGAAACTGGCTGGGCAGCTAGGTGGCACAGTGGATAGAGCACCAGCCTTAGGAGTTAGGAGGAACTGAGTTCAAATCCAACCTTAGACACTTAACACTTAACAAGCCTGTGACCCTGGAGAAGTCACTTAATCCCATTGCCTAGACAAGCAAAACAAAAAAAAAAACGTAATTGAACCTGGTTTTACAATAGGTATGACTCCAAAGAAAATGGACTGTTTCCTGGAAAGGAAAAGAGTCAGTGTCCCAGTTCCTCTAGGCCTAGCAGCATGTATTAATTGTTATATTCGCTTTAGAGTTCACAAAGCATTTGCCTCACAACAACCCTCGAGGTAGGTAGTGAGAATATTATATACATTTTACATATAAGGAAACTGAGTCTCAGAAAAGCTAAATAACTTAGCCAAGGTAACCCAACTAGTGTTTCAGAAGAATTCAGGATTCAAACCCAAGCCCCCTCAGTCCAAGTTCCCTGCTCTTTCCATAGTACTATACTGCTTTATCATCAGTAAGGGTGTTTAATAGAAGATAATGATGATGATGATGATATCTCAAAATATCTATAGTGCTTTACAGCTTGTAAAGTACATCTCTGGTGAGCAGAATTTTATTTGCCTCCATTTCACAAATGAGCAAACAGGTTTGTTGAAGTTCAATGATTTGCGATCAGTTTCAGGGTATAGTGGGAGCTTGGGCTGGCTCCTAGGGCTATCACAGCTGTTGTGGCCACAGCTTGTCCTTGGAACCACCCTTTGGCTCAGCCCCTTCTGGCACTTTGTACGTCTGGTAGTTTGAATTATAAAAGGATTGGCCTCAAGGGTCAGAAATGCTTTATAGTGTTTGAATTGCCTTTTGGGTACTTCCTTTAGCTCCAGCCCATGAAGAGTTGTGATTCACGTCTTTTTAAATTCTTGTATTATGTTTTTAAACTTTAATTATTAAAATAGTTTTAATTGGATTTTCATGGTTCACAAAAATGCCTATTGTATTTTAAGAACATACTTACAACACCAAACCTGTTGGACTATGCCAAATTTAGATTTATCCTGAAACTGACAGAGCTGAACCCATAGCTTCTATCACTAAATCCAACACCATGGACTTCCATATTAAACATAAACTTAGGAAATGCCTTGTGGTGATAGTTTCTCAGTAAGTGATAGTTTCTCACTTAAGGAGCCTTTAAGAAGTTAACAAACTCAGATTCTCAACGCAGGTGACAATCATACCCTTCTAATTATATGTATGTGACTCCTGCTATGAAAAGAAAAAAAAACTTCCAAAATGGTTAAAGCTGATCCTAATCGCTCCTAACCAGAATCTTTGCCTTCCTTTAAGGTTCAAGTCAGCTGGTACCTTCTACAAGCAGCCCTTTCTTAGTACCTCGGTTGGCAATAATGTTGTCTTCCCTCTCAAAGTATCTTGTATTTGTAAGTCTCCAGTTGTAGCCCTGAGTAGAATGTAAACTCCTTGAGAGCAGAACTGTTTTTAATTTTTTTTTCTTTGTATCTCAACACCCAGCACATTATCTTAAACATAGTAGCAACTTAATGTTTGTTGAATAAGGTAGAGGGAAGAGAAATTAAAGTCTTTTGCCCATACAAAGACAACATATGGCTTCTTAAATCATGTTCTCTAAAGTTGTTATGCTAAGCCAAATTAAGCCTGTTCATCATTTCCATCATGAATAGAATATGAAAAAAATGGGTTCATACCATGAAATTTACCCAAGAGAAAGCATTATTAAAATACTAGAATATATTCCAAGAGAGATTTTTTTAATTTCCTTCTTCTACAGTTTTTTTTCTCCCAAACAGGAGTTTCTTCAGTGTGGGTTGATTTAAATGTAATTTGGCCCAGAAATAAGGAGGCAGATATGGTTTCTTAAAATCCCTCCAGACCCCACGGTTCCATCATCGGAAATCAGAAGCAAAACAGGAATGAAGTGCCCTGAACCAAAGTACTGTGCTGTTCGGGAGCAGGTAAGGCTCTAGTTCTAAGCACAAGGCACACTGAAATCAGTTAAATTAAATTAAATAAAGTCAATTAAAAACATGTGAAACAACAAGATGTGGAAGTATCACTACCAGAAGATGAAGAATAATACCAGCATTGAAAGTAGAGGTAGACCATGGTGGAGAGCCAAAGTGAGGGACAGATTAAATGGCCCTTCCAAATTATTCTATCTCTAGCTATTCACCTCTAGTATCCCCCTTTCTCCCCTCCCCACTTAAGATACTTAATTCCTGAAACAGAAGCAGTGGCCTTAAAGGACTTGTAACTGGGATACTAAATGGACATGATTTTTTTTTTGTCTATGTGGACCCTGGATTTCAATTGTATAGGGAATTACGGTGAGGAAAATCCATAACTATCAAATAAGATAAATGACTAGCTAGATAAATGATTAGTTATTGACTAATAGAGATAACTCTCAGGAGAATGCTTAGTGGAGTGCCTGGCACATTTGTCATTGTTGCTGTTCAGTCATGTCTGACTTTCCATGACCCCATTCGGGTTTCTCTAAGTAGAGATACTGGAGTGGTTTTTGCATTTCCTTCTCCATCTCATTTTACCGATGAGGAAACTGAGGCAAACAGGATTAAGTGACTTGCCCAGGGTCACACAGCTAGTAAGTTTCTGAACCTGAATTCATGAAGATGAGTGCTCCTGACTCCAGGCCCTGCACTCTACCCACTGTGCCACCTAGCAGGCCTCTAATAAATGCTCATTTCCTTTCAATTCCCTAACCTTAACCAACATAGATAGGTACTTTCCTTGCTTTAACTAATTCAGATAGGTTGGCCCTTGTTGTGCAATTTACATCTGCCTGGGGCAATGGGATGTTAGATGGCTTGTCAAGGATCTGACAGCTAGTTATGGGTCCAAAGCAGGACTTGAAATTTAGGTCTTTCTGATTCAGAAGCCAGTTATTTAATCACTGCATCACTGACTCAGGAAGGTGTAAAACTTGCTAACATTAAGACAATGACACAATGAATTATAGACAGGTTTTTTGGCAGAGCCTTCTGGAGCCTCTCAGCATCTCTCGCTTTTCTCATGAATTTGGCCTAGCTCAATATTTTTAAAAAGAGGCCATGTAGCATAGTACAAGGACTGTTGAATCTGGAGTTCATGTAAATATGTGACAGTGAGCAAGATTCAATCTCTTTGACCACAGGTACTTCTCTCACTTGGGCAGCTAGGCTGCAGTAGACAGAGCTCTGAACCTTGGAGTTAGGAAGACCTGAGTTCAAATCCAGATTCAGACACTTACTAGCTGTGTGATCCTGGGCCTAAGTCACTTATCCTCTGTTTGCCTAAGTTTCTTCATCTGTAAAATGGGGATAACAATAGCACCTACATCCCAGGGTTGTTATCAGGATTAAATGAAATAATGTTTGTGCCTGGTACATAGTAAATGCTATGTAAATATTATAATTTTATATATTATAATATATATAATTATAATATTATAATTATTAAACTATAAGTTATACTTAACAGGGTTAGAAAGTAAAAAAAAAACAATGAGGTTACTGTCAGGGGCCATGTAAACTTCAGATTCTTACCTCAGAGAGGGAAATAAAGTACTGAACTGAACAGTACCCTCCTTTACCAAGAGGGCAATCAGCTACTGGTATTCTTTTTTGTGGATAAAAGTTAAATCTCTTTTCCTCTCACTATGAATTTCCAGAATTAACCCTCTGTTTGGTCAGTGTCCTTGGAACCTCATCTCATCTTATTTGTTAAATTTGTGCATGTATCTGTGTGTGTTTGTGTGTATGTGTGTGTTATATGAATGTGTTATAAGGTAGCCAGACTGAAAAAAATGTCATCTCTCATGGTCCTTTAGCTCAGATACTACTACAGATAAACCAAAATTATTATTACAATGCAACAAAATTGGCATCATACCAGTTTCTAATGGTAATTTTATCATAAATATTTAAAATCCTTTAGAACAGTTTTTATTCTTAGATATGTTGATTGCAATGATAAAGTAATTTAGTATAGAAAGCCAAGGATTTTTTCTGCATAACTACAATGATAAAACTTTTGATTCCAGATATTTATAGGTAGTATATTTTTTAACTTGCCAGTGTAATATGTCTTCCAATAACCAGAAAATAAATGAAAAGAAGAGAAATTTCTCACACATTGCAGCTATAGTGAGGTATGAAACAATCATAGTCAACTATTGACTAACAGAGAGAACTCAGGAGAAAATAGTAGATCAGTGACTGAAATATTAAACTCTGTCAGAAGAAACTTGTGAGTATTTTTGTACAACAATTTTATAACAAAATGTCAGATATAAACAGAAAAATAGCAAAGTTATTTATTTTTTTTCCATACTTCTGCCTCTCTGCTTTCAATTTAATTCAACGATCATTTGTTTAGGGCCTAAAGGTATGATGTGTTTTGCTAGGTGCTGCAGATACAAAGATAAAAATGAAAAGCAACCCCTTCCCTCAAGAATCTTACATTCCCCAAGGGGTTTACATGTAGAGATAAGTAAACACAATATTTTTTCAGGAGGGGAAAAGGCACTAATAACTAGGGTGCAGGGGAGGCATTAGTCGCCTTCAGCTTCCTTACTTCGTTTTCCCCTATGCATTTTTCTTTTTATATTGCTTCAGTGTAATTCCATTCTTCAGGTTCTGTTTTCTCTGCTTCTTATTATTTCATCAAGTTCTACCTAGTTCTTTCTATTTCTCATAGTTATCAATCTTAATTTCATTGTTGTCTCAACACATTAATATATAAAAGGTAAATCAATCATTTCCCAGTTTGGAGACATTTAGAAATTACATTTTAAGGAGGAAACCCAGGTCAATCATTTCTTCATTCCTCTCCAGGCTGTACCCCTCACTCTCTGCAGGATTTTGTCTACCATGTCATAGAAACCTTTTCATCCTAGAAGCTCACTCCTTCCCTGGACTACTTTTCACATTGGGAGTATCCTCTGCCTCTCTCTTTGATTAGCTTGCTTCTCTGAGACCCTCCATTTTAAGGAGGAGGCCCAGGCCAACAGTGCCTTCATTCCTCTCCGTGCTGCACTCCTCACTCTCCACAGGACTTTGTCTACTATGCCCCAGTGCTGAGTACCTTCATTCTGATCCTCCCCCTACTCTTGTTTTCCCCAGTTAGAATGTAAGTACCTTGAGAGCTGGGATTGTCTTTCTTTCAGCTGACCTAAAGCAAACACATGTGTTCCCAAAAAGCATTTCTGCATGCAAAATCATGTAATTAAAAAACACACGAGTTATGGGGAAAATGAGGTTGGGACATAATACTCAAAATTTTCACCAGTGATGTTGAGGGGCAAGGGCATGGGTCACAGAGTCATCTAGAAAGAATTCAAGCTCAGGCTATCTCCAAATCAAGTAAAGGTGTTTCTTTGGAGTAACACACCCAGTGGGCTTTTCTCCTTAAGGGAGACAGCTGCCCAGTCAGGAGAAACTAAAGATTTTTATTGAGGAAACCTGCCAAGTGGGCAGGGAGATGAGGTAATCAGGCATATGCAGTAAAGGGGCTGTACTTGCCAGCCCATTTGCCCAGGGCAGAGGGGCCCCTGTTAATCTCATCATCTCCAGAAAGGCTTCAGCTAATCTCATCATCTCCCTCCTCAAGAAGTAGGTACCCAAATTCATTTGGGGAAAAGGGGATGAAGGTCTCTTCTGCCACTGTTTCAGGCTGACAAGGGTGGTAGAGATGTCCCTGCTTAAATGGGTTTCTCCCTTGAAGGGAAAGATGAATTAAACTGAGCATATGTGTAATCCGGGGGATGTTGGGATGTCTCTATGGAAGTGTAGCCGTCCTGGGCTATCATCTGTAGTTTAATAGACTACAGCCTAGAGGATACAAACCTAGTGAGGAGATTCAGGATGCATGGGCCAAGTATCAGGAATAAAAGGATAATAAGAAAGGGGGGTTAGCAAGGGTGAGAGAAGGGTCAGAACCAGGAACTTGCTCTGGAATCCCCTCAAAGAAGTTGCTGGCCGAGGTCTTTTATCCATCTGGCTTCCTTGAGGATGCATTCAGTCCTTAGTTCAACCTGGCAGGAATTATTAGTGTAGATGCAACAGGAGGTGTTGGCCAAGGCACAGACACTCCCTGCTGAGACTAGGAGGTAATCCAAAGTAATGTGATTGTCTAGTAGGGGTGGGGAAACCACATGTGGCTTGTCCTCAACTGAGGCCCTTTGACCAGAATCCAAATCCCCATTTGTTCTGTGAAGTTTGGATTGGTCAAAGGGCCTCATTTGAAGACCTAGAGGGCCACATGTGGCCTTGAGGCCAAAGGTTCCCCACCCCTGGAGGACCACATTGGCCAAGGAATCAAGGAACTTTTTGAAGAGATTGGGAGGGGTCCTGGGCGAGGTCTTCAATGGCTAAAGTAAGATTAACAAGGACTTAATTAAGTTCTAAATAGCCTAAGTACAGGACCAAGAAGGTCCCCACTCTTCCCAAAATCTGTCAAAGAAACTGTGCTTTCTATGGTGGGGAGTACTAGTGGTAGATGCCTTATTGATAGAAATGGTGGGATATAAGCAGCCCAGGGTACTAGTCTATACTGCTTATATGGGGTGAGGCACTGGGCGGTGAAAACACCTGAGGGGTATCACTGTTGGAGGTGTTTTAAACTCACAGAAGATACACCCCCAGGGTCCACAGATGATATTGGTGCCTCCAGGCATCCTGGCCACAAGACTCCAAAGGTGAGTCTGGTTGTGGGATGGCAGCACGGTGTTGAGGTTCTGGAGCAGTTGGCTAGGACTTTTTAGGGGGTCCTGGCTGAAACGCACCAGTAAAAAAGTAGAGAAGTATGCAATTAATGGCCTTTGCGCCATTGCAAAGTGGGTAGGTGAATCTGACACTTTCACATGGGCCACTCACAACTTGATACATGTATTGTGTCGAACACTGGAAGTCATTGCCAGCCATAAAACAGGGAATCAAAGGAGTGGTATTAAAGAAGTTCCACAAAGGTGTGGCCAGGACAAAAGAAGAAGCCTTAGCAGGCCCATGCTCAGTTACTGCAGGGAAAGGTGGCCTGGTGGGCTGTGCAGCAGACCTCCTATAAGAAAGTGCTTGGGGGTGGTGGAGGCAGACCTAAGAGTTTGTAATCCTGCCTCATCCTACCACCTCACCTCTCCAGAAGAGACAGATTTCCCCCCAGGGCTTTTGCTTGATGCCTCCAACATAAAGCAAAAATGTAAGTAGAAGTAGAAGAGTAAGCATTCTCTAGGGCAAAGGAAATGATTAACTTGTCTGGGAAATAGGTAATTGGTCTGAGCACAGATAAAAATTATCAAAAGTGAAACAAGGAAAAGCTAGAGTATCACCCAAAAGAGGTCACCCTTGTCCATTCACAGTTCCCCCAGATTTCTTCTGGAACAGCAGTCGCAGGTACTCAATAGGCTCACAGGTGTATTTCAGGGTACCTGGGGAGGAAACAGGGAAGGGAGCAGATTTAATTCAGGGATACATAAGTCCAACTGGGTAAGCCTGAGTAAACTTGACCACAATGGGAGTGGTAAGCAAAACTCAATATGGTCCTGTCCAAGTGTTCACTCCCCTGGGCCTTCTAGGACATCAGTTACACCATGTCACTTGGGTTCACAGAGCCTTGTTGCAGCAATCATTTGGTTTTGGGAGATGTTCATTAGCATACTTGGTCAGAGCATTCCAGACTGTACCCAGCTGCATTGCAAACTGGGTAATTAGGAGTTGCTCTAGATCCACAAGTATGTCAGAGGTTAGAAAGGGTCACCCATGAAGGAACTTGAAGGAACTAAGCTTAATGTTATTCCTGGGGATGATGAGGACCCGCAACAATGCTATTAGGAGAATTTTTATCCAGTCCTTATGCATCTCCTGAAACAACCTGGTCAGGACCAACTTGAGAGTGTGTTCAAATTGTTATCACATACATCAGTCAGTCATACTGGAACAAATTTTTGTTTTCACAAGTGTTACAGCAGAACTGACAGCATTTGTGTTACCAGCATTTAGCAGGGTCTGGTACATAGTAAGTGCTTAATAAATACCTGTTGTTTTTCTTATTATTTAGGTTATCTCCAGGTCTGTGGTATTGGGAGACAGGGAGGCAGTACAATCACAACTGTATCTATAAATATCTTTGAACAGATGGCTTTTTTTTTCACATGATGCCCTCAAAACATGTTTCCAGTATTGGGATTAATGGGTCAATGAATTGGATCACTTTTGCAGTTTTCGCAATTTTCTGTCACATTACTTTCCAAAGTGATTCCATCAATATGTAATTCTAAATTTAAGATCCTAATTTCTGTCATATTTGCAGTAAACATTTTCCCTAATGTATTTTATCTTGATTATATTTTATTGTAAATAATTTAATTATTATTTAACCAAGTACATCTCCTTCATCTCCAATAATGTTTCTTTTTATTTAATAAATACAGATTTATCTATCCTCCAAAAGGTAGTATCATACATTGGAAAAGAATACTGAATTTAGAATCAGAGGACCTGGTTTCAAATACTACCTGCCACCTTATGTAATCTTAGGTGATTTAACCACTCTGAGCCTCAGTTTCTCATCTATAAAATGAAAGAATTGGACTAGATGACATCTAAGGTTCCTTATATCTCTGAATCTATAAGCTCTGGAAAATGAGATAAATATATTTTTTCTTTAAGCTTTTATGATTTGTTTTTTATTGCTTGTCATAGGATCTAGGTAGAATTTTTTATAGTACATACTATGAGATGTGGATGTATATTTACTTTTTGCCATATTGGTAACTCGTATTACCAACTACATTTGTATTACAACTACATAATACCAACTGCAACAGTGAATACTTTCCCTAATTTTTAATTTTCCATAGGTTTCCCAAATACTAAACATCTGTACATAGTTGGATTAGTGTAGAATAGTGATTATGTTTTATTGGTCTATTTTGGTATGTTTTGCCCAATACCAAGTAATTTTGTTAACTACTTTATTATATTTATTGATGTATTTGTATATTAATATATTTATTATATTTATTTTGAAGTCTTGAAGTACATATCCACCTTCATCAGCTTTGTTGTTTTTGTTTTGTTTTCAACATGGTTCTTGGTAATATTGTTTTTTAATACAAATTTCATTGTGATTAGCATTGACTTCAAACTGGGTAATCTGTGTAACCTCCTCCAATTCTTATTATATTTGGAACAACAGGCAAGTCATTTGGCCTAAGTCTCAGTTTTCCCTTCTGTACAATGGGAATCATACTTGTATTACCTGCTTCATGGGTTTGCTGCAGGGAAAATGATTTCTAAAACTTAAAGCACTTTATAAATTGTTTTTATTTTATTCAAGTCTACTCTGACCTTTGACTGTACCCTGTTTTTTCATGCCTCAGTATCTATGCACATACTGTTGTCCCCTATAAACCCCACCACCACTTCCTCTGTTTGCCTGTTCAATTCCTACCTATTCCTTAAGATCCTTCTCAAGTGTTACATCCCCCTTTGAGACCTCCTTTGATCTCCCTAGTCAGTATCCTCTCCCCTCAAGCCTCCTGTACTTCTTTGTTCTGCGATACTGTAATACACTTGTATGATATTGTATACTATAGCTATCTGGATTTTTGTCAGAGATCTGTGTTTCATCTAGACTTTGTAACTCCCTCAGTGCCTAATGGTGTTCTGCCCATGATAAGTGTTTAATGGCTGTTGAATTCAATTTACTGGATGATACAGTCAGCAATTTCTGTGTCTAAACTTTGATCTCTCCCAAGTCATTGACCCTGACAACATCGATGTCTGTGTAGCATTCCATAATGACTATACATGTAATACATTTCATCACTGTTGGTCAGATATTTTTACACCCAATTCTAAGGGATGGTCTTCACTTTTAATTTACCAGGAGATTGTTGCAGTAGGATATGACTCAAAATGTATGGATTATCAAGTAGAGTCTGGCAATCCATTTGTGAACTCAAAAACCATCATCTACATAGGATCACAGATTTAGAGCCAGAAGGAACCTTAGAAGTCAAACCACCTCATTGTACAGGTGAGGAAACTGAATCCCAGAGAAGTTAAATGGCTTACCCTGGGTCACACAGCTAGTAAGTATCTGAGGTAGAATTTAATGATTTCCTTTTTTGATCCCTCAGTCAGAAATGACCATTCTTTCCTGTGATTCCCCCATAGCCCTGTGTAGAGCTCACCTAACAGTCTACCTTTGTATTATATCCTGTTTTCTTTATTAGATTATAAACTCCTAGAAGACTGAGGCTGTCTTATTCATCTTTGTTAGCTTCCTGTTAAAAAATGCAGAGAATTATCCTTTTCAGCAATAACATGAGTAGCTAGCCCAGACTGGAAGAGGGCTCCTAAGGCCTCCTGTGGTTAGATGGAAAAGAAAGCGGATGAATCAGTAGAGTTTCAGTTTCTAATATCCTACAGAGGGGAAAAAATGCTGTTGGCTAGTGAAAGATGAGCAAAGAACAAGCATATAGCTGAGAATATCTGCTCTTATTTCAGAGGAAGGATAATATCAATAATTATGCTAACAAAAAACAATTTATTGCCTTACCTCCTGGGTTGTGTCATGAACGTGACATGTCTGTTTACTTGAATATCATTTTCTGTTCCCTGCTACGTGGCTTAGGGGTAGGGTGCTGGAACTAGAGTCTGGGAGACCTGGGTTCAAATCCTACATCAGATACTTACTAGCTGTGTAACCCTAGACAAATCATTTAACCTCTCTGTACTTCAGTTTCCTCATATATAAAGTGAGGGCAGCAGGCTTGATGAGCTTTCAGTTGGGCCTTTGGGCTCTAAATTTATGATCTTTTGACATCTCTACTGATTTAATGATGTAGAAAGGACAACAGACTAAAAAGGCAGAGCACTGGGTTTGGAGTCAGAAGACTCAGGTTCATAGCCTGCTTCTGTCACGAACTATATGGCCCTGGACAAGTCATTTAACCTTTTAGCTCTTCACTTTCTTAATCTGTAAAATTAAGCAATTGTATTAGATGATCCCTAAGGTCCATTTTAGCTCTGAATCTTTAGTCCCGTGGTATTTTGATTGATATTGCATTAAATCTTGATATAAAATTTTGATTTGTATTGCAGCGAATTAATTTGGGAAGTATAGTTACTTCTACTTAAAAAAACTTTTACATTGAAATTCTGGTCTAATATAGATGTTATATAATATATTTATAATCTAATATAGAAAAATATAGTCTAATAATATATAGAAATTATATGCTAATAGTCTTAAGCTACTCCCTGAGCAAATATATTCTTCTGATGATGTTACATCATTATAGATCACGGAACTCTGGTATCCAAAGAATTAAAACTGAGGAACATCCAAAGGGTAATAGAGAATAGCATGGTGAGTGTGAGCAGGTTATGGGTTAGAAACATTAGAAATAAGAAGTATGAAAGATAAGTACTATAAAACATGACATCAAAGAAATGTATGAATGAAAGAGAATGAAAAGGAGGGTTAATCCCTTGACAGATGACAGATGGGCAGTCTGCATGCTCCATTAGTATCCTTGCACTATTAAGAGAAAATATTGAGAAAAAGGCCCATAACATGTCAGGTTACTACCCTAAATTAAACTTATGAGGAAACATGGACAAGAATTGCACAAGATATACAGGCATTGATTGATTCATCCCTGTTATGGCCAAGATCACAGATCCATTTGAGTATGCATTTATTCTTACTATATTGATCTGATCCATCCAAGAACAGTAACTGTCTTTCTAATTATGTAGATATTTCTTTATTTTTCTAATTCTAGTTTTTCAGTTATTTTATATAAAAATCATATGTACGTGATCCTGAGGACCTACAGAAAATCATTGACTAGTGTTATGGAAATAGTGGAGCAAACCTATATATAAAATAACTTTGTGTGAACTTCAGTTCTATCTTTAGTAATGCACAGACTCCTTATTTTAATAAGTAACTCATCTCAGGGAAAGACAGGAGTGCCAATAGATGAAAAGAAGGATGAGAGAACACAGATGAGTTCATTACACACCAAAGAGGGGAGTGATAGCCAGCAGAGATCATATCAATATAGCCAAGAGAAGAGTCACCACCAAAATGCAAGACTTCCAGAGTCCATATCCTGGGGGAAATTTAAACTCTAGATCTCCTGCCTCGGAATGTGGCCACCATCCTGACTGTGTGTCATGTAGCCCATTATATCAACTGTACCCAGACAAACTTTACAATCTGCTCTGGCTATCTTCTTGCCATTCTCCCTGCCTGCCACTATACCTTTTGGACTAATGGAGCTCCAGAGTCTATAAACTGAGGGACTTAACCCTCTCAGTGCTAGAACTCCTACCCTATGGCTCACATGGTCTGATGGGTAAGTGTGTTATATGGTCCACTGTGCATAATGGATGGCAGTCATATTTCACATTCTAGCCCAATCATCCTCTCACTATCTACCTTCCCAGTATGCATTTACTCTTTCCCCTTCTCCAGTTCCAGAACTGTAATCAAACTAATATTGCCATTACTACTGGAAGGGATATATTGACCAATTTAGCTGGCTCTATCATCCCTCTGACTTCCCAAAACATACCACCCCTCTCAGGCCACCATTCCTCCTTGTTTTCTTTTATTAGAATGTATTGGGGCAGCTAGATGTTGCAGTGGATACATCACTGGCCCTGAAGTCAGGAGTACCTGAGCTCAAGTCTGGCCTCAGACCAAATACTTGACACTTACTAGCTGTGTGACCCTGGGCAAGTCACTTAACTCCAATTGCCTGGGGAGGGGGGAAAGAATGTATGCAGGAACTTTCTCATTTTTTGTCAATCATTCAATCAATAATCCAAAAAAAAATGGAGGGGTTTGTCTTGGCAAGAAGTAGGGGCACCTTTTCATGCTAAGTGGGTGAAGGAACAGATAGAGGCAGAAGAGATGAGGAAGAGGAGGGAAAAGTGAACTCACCATGACATGGTCTCAATTTTTTTTCTTTAAAATGAAAGAAGATTTTCCACTGAGAAGGAGGAAGGGGAGAATAAAAAGTTTGAGGATGGAAGAAAGAGTTTAGAAGAGCCTCTGTGGAAAACAAAATAGTGGATTAACAAAGGAAGTATAGAAAGATTGTCTAGTATCAGTTTGCATTTATATCCTTAATGCTTAGCACATAATAAGAGCTTAAGAAATGCTTGTTCATTCATTACAGGTAAAGAAACTCTAGCTCTGAGAGCTGTGCAGAGTCACAGTTAGCAAGCTTCACACAGAGGATTCAAACCCTAGTCACCCTTTGTCCAGATCCAGTACTAGATCTTCTATTTCATGCTAATTCATTTAAATACTTCTGGAAAATTCAAATTCCAGCCACTTACATGATGCCCTTAGTAGGAAGACTAGATAAGCTATATACACAAATATGGGAAAGATCTGGTTTTCTTCAATTTGAGAAACTCCAAATGTTACAAGTCCTTCTACCAATCATCTGTGGCTAAGTAGATAAATCCCCAAGCAGATATCTGAGGCACACAGAGGTTAAGTGACTTGTCTGAGTCGAATAGCTAATAAATCTCAAGGGCAGGATTTGAACAGAGGTCTTCATGGCTCCAAAGATAGCTTTTTATCCATCACCTCCATGCTACATCTACTGATAAGCTCCATATATCTTCATAGACATACACACAACTTAAGAAGGGAACATTAGCTTTTGTGCTGCTTCTTACTCGTTTCACCTGCCTGATGGTCTTAAGTCCTACCTTAGTTTCAGTTAAGGCTACTTGCCTTTAAAGAAAATCCATTTTGCTTAGCAAGTCTCCTCCCTCATTTATTACTACTTGCTTGAAGAAGACTGAGCCATTCACCTGCAAGGATGTGATAATCCCAAAGGTTCCATTCGAAATGTAGTTTTCTATTTCCAAGTAATACATCAAGCAAATCATTTCAACCTGTGAGTTATCCTCATTAGGGATAGATAACAAGTAATTTATTCAGGCATACCTTAAAGAAGAGCCAAAAAGGTTTAGTAAATGGGGAAAATGTTCTTCAATATAAACATTTGGGACTTGGTGACTAATCCAGTTGCTTGCTGAATACTTCTCATGTAAATTCATTCTATGCATCTGCCTCCTCTTCCTCCTGGGAAGTAACATAGGCCTCTGAGGCACTTGACAATCATTTCAATTAGCTAATAATCCAATTTGAACATAATCAAAGTATTATAGGCAAATTTAGGAAGTATAAAGATTCACCTGTAGCGTAATAGCTGGTTATCAAAGATATTAGCATTTTGTCCTTTTCAGAATGAAATTATAAGATTTGCCCTAAGGAACTCAGGAAATAGTGCCAATATGCTGCATCTATACCTTATTTTTTTTTTAGGGTACAAGGTAATTTATAGGCCTGAATGAATCCTGTCAGCAAACCAAGGAGCTGAGACTACTGCTGCTCGTCCCACTCGCCTTCTCAGGGCTTCTCACAGGTAACATTTGATAACCTGCCTCTGCCATTTCTGCACAGGATGGGCTCATACCTATAATGCTCACCCCCCCATTTGCCTGGTTTTCTTTCCCTAACCCTAAATGCGCTCTACACAAGGCCTTTCCTGATGCCCTCAGCTGCTAGTCCTTGTCCACCATTTACTGTTACCTTGAAATCATCACTATTGTCATTATTAGACTGGATCTTCCTATCTTGCCAAGATTGGAAGTACAAGGGTGAGTAACAAGGGTTACTCACAGGCCTACTTTGATCAGCACAGGAGCTTTGACTGATTTTACTTTCCAATCTGGACCAATTTGCCCTCCCTTAGGCAATCTGTTGCCCTCCTTCTCCCGGCCCCCTGCTAAGGGTTCATCATATTGATTCTGAACTTAGTGTACACATCATACTGGCTTTGCCCATTATAGCTTATAATTCCAAAGCTTTTGTTTATTTGTTTAGACCAGATAAATATTTATTTCTTAATATTTCTGGAGAAAGAGAAAAAGAGGGTTTTTAAAATGCTTCCCCAGGGCTAGGGATCTTCATGTAGCGCTCTTCTCTCTCTCTCTCTGTCTCTCTCTCTCTCTGTCTCTCTCTCTCTGTCTCTCTCTCTCTGTCTCTCTCTCTCTCTCTCTCTCTCTCTCTCTCTCTCTCTCTCTCTCTCTCTGTCTGTCTCTTTCTCTCTTTAAAATTTTTATTTCCAGGCTGTTTGGTTGAGGAAATATTCTGTAATATCTGCCTGGCAGTTTTAACCAGCAGCAGTTCAAGAAAAATAAACAAAAATATATTGCCAAAAAAACAAACAAACAAACAAACAAACAAATAAATAAATAAAATGCTTCCCCAATTCCTTCCCATAGCTTCATATCAAATTGTTGTGCACAGTGCAACTGGATTATTGTAAAAGTCAGAAAATCCACTAATTCTCTATTCCCTACCAAATATCTGGCATTATTACAAGAGTAATTGCTGTGGATTGTCTAGGCTTTCCTGGGGGGTTTGAGCTCCCACATATTAGCCTTCTCAGTTCCACATGTATGCTTTCCAGTATTGCTGAGTTGGGGGCCAGATTCCCTTCATAGTGCCATAGGTTTGGTACATTGTGAGTAGCTTTACTTCTAACCTGCATTAAAAGGGTGTTCTGGAGCTTGGAGATAGTTCGTACTGACTTACAGCAGCCAATTGTTAAATTGTTTTTAGTGTGAGCATTTACACCTCAGTATTGGCAAATGCTACAAATCAGGGCTTGATTTATTGTTTTATTGATTGCCTGGACTTAATAAAGTAATGTAGAAAATGCTAATAATGATAGATTAAACTTCAAAGTGTGTTGTGTGTACATTCCCTACCCCTTCTCCAATAGAGCCAGTTGTTAAACATTGACCAGGATGCCACTGCTGGAGACCATGCAGGAATAACTCCACAGCCATAAGTCTGAAGAGAATTCTTGATTCCTTGAACTATTTGCACAATTTAACAAGTGCAGTCATTAGCTATATCCCACAACTGGTCATTCATGAAATTCTGGACCTCAGAACCTGCTTTCTCTCATTAGAATACCTCACCCTCCTAGGCAATTCATTCATTAACAAAGAGAGTTCCCCCATGGTTGCCTAATGCAGATATGGTATAGAACTCCCCCAATCCCACCTGAGTTGATTCAATAGGCTCCTGTCGTAAGGAGAGTAGCTTTTCTAATTATGCCAGCTAGTGGTCTCTTTAGTCCTTCATATACAGTCCAGAGTAAAACTGCCATTTGGGATTTATCATAAAAGTTATATCTCTCCTAGACAGGAGGACATGGACGTGCTTGTCAAGTCTCTAAGTTATGTCAGATAGCTGTGGTTCTAGATTGATGATGATGATGATAATGATATTGGGAAACAACTTATCAAAGAAAGGGTCATTTTAAAAATCCTCAGTATAGTGTTTCCAAACATCTACCTTGTTCCCCAGTTTTAGGCTCCATGAAGAAATAGTAATTTGGTCACATTCTTAGGTCAAGTATCAAAAATTATGGCTATATTACCTAACAAAATGTAGTGAGTGATATCACTGTAGAGGAGAGTAATTGTATGGCAGTAATAGTAACCATCTGTACATCAATCATTACAGATAGGTTGCATACCAATATGCATTTTTACCAAATATCTTCTTTAAAAAGGAGGGGCCCACACTGTCCACTAAGTAGGAGACTTCAGGTAAAGATACATAATAGTTAAGTGCATCTAGCTCTTCTACACAGAATGTCTCACATTCCCAGGTAAACCTTTCACAGTTCCTTCCAGAAAGGCATTCATCAAGAATTACTGTACAATCTTTTATCTTGGAGCTGGTAGACACAGAACCACAAGGTAGTCTTTTTGTTCTGGGGTGCCACACTCTTTTCTTTAGACAAGGTACAGACAAGGTATAGTGCAATCACTATACCCTTTTGCCTCCATCAAAGCAAAAGTTCATCTATGGTGGAATACATGAACTCAGTATTGAAGAGCCTAGCCTTCAGCAGTCATTTGGTGGTCAATAGTAATCTGGTTACAAAAATCTTTCAGCAGTTTCTCTTAGCTTGGAATTTAGCAGTAGGAAGCTTTTCCCAACACCTCTTAATTCCAGTGCCTTTCCTCTGTGAATTATTTCCTATCTATCATGTATATAGCCTGCTTTGGATATATTTGTTTGCATGTTGTCTCCTCCATTATCTTGCAAGCTCCTTGAGGGCAGGGACTGTATTTTGCCTCTCTTTGTATCCTCAGAACTTAGTACAGTTCCTGGCACATAGTAGGTACCCAATAAATGTTTATTGGTTGATTAGATAAACTTCAATTTATCCTAAAAATGCATACATTATAATAAGAACATATTCTATCATTTACTCATTTGAACAAAATCTACTAATATGATAAAAGAAAAAGACATCATATTTGCTGTTCTTTGTATCTTAAAGGTTAGCATTTGTATAGCTATTAAGTTTTGCATATACACACAGATGTATATATACACACATATGCATTATCTGTGACAGGATTTTATTTTATTTTTATTTTATTTTATTTTTTTTGGCTGGGCAATGGGGTTAAGTGACTTGCCCAGGTCACACAGCTAGTAAGTGTTATGTGTCTGAGGCCGGATTTGAACTCAGCTCCTCCTGAATCCAGGGCCAGTGCTCTATCCACTGCGCCACCTAGCCACCCCTTGTGACAGGATTTTAACTCAGGTCTTCCTGACCCATTGTTGCAACCTAGCTGGATCCTTAGTCTATTTTTCCAACATAATGTCCCTGGCGCATTAGATAGGCACAATAATATTGTTGGGCTTTTGGAGAAAAATTTTCAGCCAAAATTTTGTACTTCAGCAACACCAATAGCAATCCTGCCACATATAATTATTAGCTGTATGATCCTAGTCAAGTAAATAACTTTAATTTCTTATCCTTAGTTTCTTTATCTTTAAAATGTGGGTAATAATAATAATAATAACAATAATATTCCATAGGGTTGTTGTAAGGATGAGTAAGGCTTTATATACAAATATGGACATATTCATACATATATCTATGTAAGCATTCGTAGGTATATGTTTATATTCATATATATCTATGTAAATATACTTAGGTATATATATATACTCATATATGTGTATATACAAACCTTGTTCTTGTTCATCCTTTGTTTTTGAAGAGGACCATTTATACCATGGGGGGAGAGCTTGACTTGAGCATGAATTGAATTTAAGTGAAGCAGAGTTGCACAAAGTTGTCAGCCTCACGCTGTATTCCAGAGTCATCAAAGTCCAGTGTCAAGACAAAAGGCAATGTCCACGGATGCTGTAGATGACCTAGATGTCTTTGATGTCTGATCCTAAGCTCTCCACAGCAGCTTCTTCAGCCACCTTGAAGCTGTTGGAACAAATTGTTCTCATTAGCCCATTCCACCAGAGGAAGTCTTCACATGCTTGAGGTAGCCAACCCCCCTAACTCACCCGATGGGTTTGAGGCCTGTTGTTGGTTAGCCTCAAATTGTTTAGCCTGTCTGCCAAGATGGTTTTACTAAGGTATGGCCACTGCACATGCTACATCCTCTTGGAGCCACAGGTAAGAGTTGGGTAAGGTGGGGCTGCTCATGCAGACTTTAATAGCTATACAAATGCTAACCACAAATAACATTATGCCAAACCCTGGAGCAAGGTAAGAATCACTTCTAGAATAGCTAATAAAAGCTGAAAAGGAGTTAAGATTAAGTCACAATTGTTCTACCTGAGGGGTAAAAAGGACATCAGATATTAACTATGGAGTGAACCTCAGCCTAGACCTTATTCTAAATTGTCTGGTCATTCCCAGGATGGCCTTGGACTGTACTTCTGAAAAATCCCTCTGCACAGGCTTCATGCAATCTATATAAAAACAAAGATGCCAAAGTTTGTTTATAGCCTGAATATTCCATTTAACTTTACTTTCCTGAACCAGTTGCCTGCTGTAAACATGTTTTACATTCACTCACTGAGGGACCTTCATAATATTTCACATGTTGCAATGTCTTATTTTGCAGAAAAGGGGCCTGCAGGCAATTGCCTAAGGTTCTAAATTACCAGACTTATATCAACCAACATCTCTTGATACAAGCACAATCCAAAAAATAAGATACAGATCAGCTGAATAGGCTACAGTGGTATGGTTTAGATTTCTAAGGAACAATTAAAAAAAAACATTTATCATTTAAGTACATTATAGATAGTCTACTTAATATTTTGATTACATTCCAAATATTCCTAGTAGTTGAGAACTTCACTGTTTCCAAAATGTGCTCTCAAACAGAATTTCTACCTTTGCTGTACTATTTACCAAACCCAAATTATTTCTTGGACAAACTCTGAATGCTTGAGACTATCATTAAGCAGAGGAAGAGTACTGTCTTTCAGATAAAAGTCTGTACTAGGTAGCCCTCATCAAAAGTCAGTCACAGCATTCAGATTAATGAGGATCTAACCTCCTAATGTGACATGCATCACATTAGGTACTATTGCAAAAAAAAAACAACAACAACATTTACATACAATTTCCAAATTTACAATATGAGAAAATTATAAACATGTCATTAACATAAAAGAATCTCATGGACCTGATGAGAATGGGATCTGGACCCCAAAAAGGAAAAACACTGGCCAAATCTCTGGCATTGACCTGAGGCTATAATCCTATCAACTGTCCTTTCATTATTGCCTATGCCCAATCTACCTCCTGATAGCCACAGCCACTTCCCATCCTTGATCCTATCTAGACTCCATTCTCCCTTGGCCACTGGTCTAGGTCTCAGGTGTTCTGTTTACCCCAGCTTACTGTTTACCCCACAATCCAGATCTTCCTTAGACCCTCTTCCAGTTGATGAGGTATAGATTCTTGGGGTGCTGGGACCCCAAAATCACCACATGGCGGATCCTGCCCGAATGAATTCGACTCAAATCTTCTTTCAGCCAGAGATAAAGTTTTATTAGATATGGGCCATACAGGTCAGACTCTTAAGGAATCTGAATATTAGTGATGCCTGTAAGGGTCGGGGGGAAGGGGCATGAGGAAATCTCAGCGTTTAAATGGGGGCCAGGGTGGTTCTTATATACACTCAAGTAATTTTGGGCAACTAGAGGAGGGGCTGAGAAGAGGAGTTTAGGGAGAATGGGGGTCATTCGGGAATAGACAATGAAGGGCTAGGCTTTTATTAGGGTAACAAAGAACTAGAAGGAAGAGGTTGATAAGATCAAAGGTAGTATCAAAGACTATGCTTCTTCATTAGAATTTCTAAGGGAGATAGACAGAGTTGGAATAAGAGATAAGGAAAGGCCAGTTGAGTGGAGTATAGCCTCAGACCACCATTCGAGACCAGAGTGAGGTCAAAGAAAGTTTAAGGTTTTTCTTGGGCCCGTAGACAAATGAGACCCAAATTCTTTTTGGGGATAAAAGCAAAGGTCTTATTTGGGTACATACCCCATCACAGTCACCCCAAACTACTTGGCCACTGCTAGATCTCTCCCACAGTCTTTCTGTATATAAGGGTCATTTTGTCTCCATTAAGGTGCTCAGATTCCTAAAATCTAGCCAAAGGCCCAGATTCTTATAATCTAGCCAATAGCTCAATAATGTTCAGACAAACTCCTTAAGGATCTGGCCAATATGACTGATATTCTAATAAATCTTGTCTTTACCTGAAAGAAGGCTTGGGTTAAATTCATTCAGGCAGGACCCATGTCTCTTGCTTTTGATATTTTGAGGTCCCAGCACCCCTGAACCCCTAAACCTCAACAGACCTAGAACATAAAACAAAATATATTGTCAGTCTAATCACTCAGTCAACTAGCACTTATTAAGCATCTATTACGTGCCAGGTGCTGTGCTAAGTACTAGGGATACAGTGAAAGGCAAAAAAAAGTCTTTGCTCTCAAAGAGTTCACAGTCTAACATTAACTCAAATGGATATATGTATAGACCATCTACAGAAAAAACATTCCATTTATCTATAGATTTTGTCATTCTGTACCAGTTGCTGTCAGAAACCAGTACAGAATAATTATCACTGTTGTTCTCAGACCTACAAAAGTATGGTACCAACAATTACTATCCAGAGGACAGATTACTATATTATGAATAATTGTCTCCAATTAGTTTATCTGACCTGATATAAATCTAAATTTTAAATTAATTATTTAAGGTTGCTCCATGATTTCAGCTACATTTCTAACTTCACAAGAATAGCAATGTCTGTGAAATCGTGCTTAGAAATCATTAGAAATCTGAAAACTAACTCCCACTCCCTGGAGAGGAAATGAGCGTTATCACACATGTAGTTCACAGCTCTATAGGTAATCTCTGATCTCAGAGAAGTCTAAAACTTCCTTAAAGTTGCATAGCTACTTTCTATAATACTGGGCTTTTTTTCCCTACTGGTAGGGAATCCAAAATTTAAGTCACTTCTAAACTTTAAATAAGTTCCTCTTGTATAAAGAGTTGCATTTAAATTTTTTTTTTCTGGGAAATAATGTGGTTCCTAGAGTTAGTTTGGGGCGGCATTATGGAAAGCCTTAGATCTCAAAAAGAGATGTAATATTTGGTCCTGGAGGCAAAAGGGAGTCACTGGAGTTTTCTGAGTAGTTGAGTGACTTGTACTTTAGGAAAATCATTTTGACCGGTATGAGAAAAATGTATGGATTTGAGAAGAGACTTGAAGAAGGAAAACCAATTAGGAAGCTTCAGTGATACTTCAGGTGAGAGTAATGATCTAAACTAGGATGGTGGTTGTTGGAAAGGAAAAACAAGGATAGAATGAATAAATGAAGCATTTGTTAAGAGTTTACTAAGTGCCAGTGCTAGAGATACAAATACAAAAAGCAAACACAGTACCTGCCCTCAAGGAGTTTGTATTCTAATGGGAAAGATGATACACAGACTTCCGCTTCTGGGAGCCAAGATGGCAGAGTGAAAAGGTAGTCACTCTCACCCTCCCCTATCAACCTCTGAAAACCCAGAAAATATCACCCCAGAAAAAAAAAACCTAGAACAGCTGAACTAGAAGAAAGAAGTGCAGCAACCCAGCAAACGGGTCTCCCAGTGCCTCAGCAAAAATAAGGGAAGCAGCACTACAAAGGGCCCCAGGCAGATGAGCACCCTACAGCATTCATTTGAAAGGAGCTGAAGAAAACAACCTAGAGTCTTCCTAAAGTCCCAGCCTTGCTGATTCCAACTCAACACCTCCAACTGTCAATGAGGAGGAGATCCTGAAGCCCAGGTGGTACAGCAGGCAAACACCAACACCTGGACCTCCAAATACCTCACTGAGGACATGGGAACAGGTGGAAACCAGCTCAAAAACACCAGGTGCATCGCCACTCTACCACAAAGGAATCTCCCAGTGCATTAGCAGAAACAAGGGAGGCAGCATTGCAAGAGGCCCGAGGCAGATAAACACCCTGCAGCATCCATCTAAAAGGAGCTGAAGAAAGCTGAAGGAAAGGAAAAGTAGGCAACCTAGAATTGCCTGAAAGTTCCAGCCTTGCTGATTCTAGCCCAACACTAAGTAAGCTGCTGGAACCCTACAGCCTCCAATTGCCAACGTAAGAGGCCCCAGCACACAAAGCCAGCGACCAAGACCTAGGCTCCCAGCACAAGAAACTTGGGTCAGTGCCCTCTGTTCCTCAGCAGGAGAGCTCACTCTCTTTAAAGGCCAGGAAATAAAGAAACCATGCATAAAAAGAAACGTACCATAGATTCATATTATAAGAAGAGTGGAGATCAAGACAGAAATTCTGAAGAGGACGACATTGTCAACAAACCCACATCTGCAACCACAAAAGGGAATATATGAACTGATCTGAAGCCCAAAAAGCCTTCTTAGAAGAGCTCAAGAAGGATTCTAAAAGTCTAATGAGAGAGGTAGAAGAATCCTTAAAAAATACAATTGGACAATTGGAAAAAAAAGTACACTGAAGAAAACAAGTCCCTAAAAAACACAATTGGCAAACTGGAAAAAAAGTACACTGAAGAAAACAAATCCCTCAAAAATACAACTGCCAATTGAAGAAGGAAGTACAAAAGCTAACAGAAGAAAACAATCTGTTAAAAACTAGAATTGGACAAATGGAAACCAATGACTCTATGAGAGAGCAAGAATCAGTCAAACAGCAATTAGAAAATGAAAAAAAGGATGAAAACATGAAATACCTCATCGGTAAAACAACTGACCTGGAAAATTGATCCAGGAGAGACAATTTAAAAACTATTGGACTACCTGAAAATCATGATGAAAAAAAGAGCCTGGATAGTATCTTTCAGGAAATCATAAAGGAAAACTGCCCTGAAGTCCTAGAATCAGAAAGTAAAATAACCATAGAAAGAATACACCGCTCACCACCTCAAAGAGATCCCAAGTTGACAATGCCAAGGAATATAATAACAAAATTCCAAAATTACCAGATGAAAGAGAAGGTGCTGCAAGCAGCCAGAAGGAAACAATTTAAATATCATGGAACCACAGTCAGGATTACACAGGACCTTGCAGCTTCTACATTAAAAGACCGCAGGCCAGATTTGAACTCCAGTACTACTGACTCCAGGACGAGCATAGAACACGATATTCTGTAAGGCAAAGGACCTTGGATTGCAGCCAAGGATCAACTACCCTGCAAAAATGAGCATGATTTTTTAAGGGAGAAGATGGATATTCAATGAAATAGGGGACTTCTAAACCTTCCTCATAAAAAGACCAGAGCTCAACAGAAAATTTGATCTTCAAGTACAAGATTCAAGAAAGACATAAAAAGGTAAATGGGACAGAAAGATACAAAATGTTGTTAATAAGGGCGAACTGTTTACATCCCTACAAGGGAAGATGACACTTGCAACTCTTGAGAACTGTATTGTTATTCCACCATGTTAAACGAGTATACACAAAGGGGGTGGATATTAGTTGACTTTGATGTAATGATAAAAAAAATCTAATCAAGTGGGTCAAATGGATCCAAATAAGTGGATTAGTCTGATCTTAGAAAATGTAATGAGAAAGGAGGAGGCAGACAAGGGTAAATTACGTTACAGGAAAAGACATAAAATCCTATTACAGCAGAGGGAAAGGGGGGGGTGAGCATTGTTTGAACCTTGGTCTCATCAGATTTGGCTCAAGAAGGGAATAACATAATCAGTTAGGTATGGAAATCTAACTTGCCCTATGGGCAGTAGGAGGGAAAAGGGGAAAGAAAAGGGAGGGGCAATAGAAAGGAGGGAAGAAGCAGTGGGGGCGAAGGGGAAGAGGGGGGAGGGGGAAAATAGAAGGGAGGAAAGACTAAAGGAGGCGGTGGTCAAAAGCAAAGTACTGGTGAGGGGCAGAAGGAAGAGAGGAGAAAGAAAAGGGTAAACAGGGTGAAAAAAGAATGGAGAAAAAGACAAAGTAATCATAAGAAAGAAAGAAAGAAAGAAAGAAAGAAGAAAGAAAGAAAGAAAGAGAGAGAGAGAGAGAGAGAGAGAGAGAGGGAGGGAGGGAGGGAGGGAGGGAGGGAGGAAGGAAGGAAGGAAGGAAGGAAGGAAGGAAGGAAGGAAGGAAGGAAGGAAGGAAGGAAGGAAGAAAGGAAGAAAGAAAGAAAGAAAGAAAGAAAGAAAGAAAGAAAGAAAGAAAGAAAGAGAAAGAAAGATGATACACAAAGGGGAGTCATGATGGCCTGGGAGAGACACTGGCATAGAAAGTTAAAGGAATGATGAGTGGGGCTTTTGGGGAGTAGATTGACCCACAACTTTGAGGCAGCATTGATTTGATCATAGTATGGTTCCAGGAAAAGACGAGGTGAAGGAAATGGCCCTTGTACAGGCAAAGTGACTGGTAAAGCTATGGGAAAGATTACCAGAGAGTCTGTAGGGAAATGAAGCATCAATGGAGCTTTTCCTGAAATAGTGGTGGAAGAAAGGCCAGTCCTCTCTTGATTCCATAGTCAGCTCTTTTCTCCGCCACCAGAGATCACTCTCCTTAAATCTCTTCCCTTTTGACAACTCTATTTCTGCCTCTCTCTGCTCCCCAGTGGTCTCCTATTACTTACTGGGCAAATAGTTCTGTTAAGTGAGACCTACCTCAATTCTGGACTATCTTCAATCCATGCCACCTCCACCCTGACTTCATCCCCATATCCTCCTGGTTCAGAGTATGGATCTGGGAGTCATCTGCAGAGAGACAAACCTGGAATCCAAACTGGAAGCACCACAGTATGAAAGATTTTCTCTGATTGAATTAGAAGGCCATGAAAGATGTCATAGCCAATATGGAAGGAGAAAGAAGAAGCAAAATTCTCCTTTTCCTTCTTTTCTCCCCTCAAATCCCCATTCCATCTGGTGGAGGCATAGGGATCCCCTTCCACAAAGCTGTTCCTTACCTTTAATGCTTCTCAGGCTGTCAGGCCTAGCTTTTTAAAGGCCACCAGGGGTTTATCCAATCTTTAACCTGCCAATTTCCTATTCCAACTCAGTCGGAGAAGTGTTTTCATGCCAGAGTGGTCTCAGGTATAGGTCTTAGGATGAAGTGGGAATAAGGGCCAAAGTGGAAGTAGCATGGCTTGGAAATTACCTGGAAGTAAAACAGAGATCACCTATCAGAGCCCAGGGTGATTGCTGGGGCAGAATCTAAGTTTTTGGTGGGGAAGAGGTAGGAATGATTGCCAGTGTGGAGGCAGTATACTTTAGAGATGTCTGGGAAGTGAGAGAAATAGGGAAATTCAGAAAAGGAGTGGATTTGGTGAGGGGAAAAATGTGTGGAGGTTTTCTGAATGTGTTGAGTTTAGGATGTCTCTAAGACATCCAGTTTGACATGTCTAGTAGGTATTTGGTAATGCAAGACTAATGCTTAGGACAGAAACTTGAAGGAGCCCAGGAGAAGGCTCAGAAAATAGATCTGGGAGTCATCTGCATAGAGACAATAACTTAAACCCATTTTAAACTAACATCACCAAGAGAATGCAAAGAGAGAAGATATCTTAGAGACTTGAGGCAAAAACCCATAGTTAAGGTGTAGGCTATAGATGATAATCCAGCAAATGAGACACAATAGGGGCAGTCAAAAAGATAAGAAGACCAGGAGAGAATAAAATCATGTCATTTCAGAGAGGACAGTCCATCCAGATGGAGAGGGTGGTCAGTAGTATCATATGAAACAAACAGATCAGAAAGTATGAAGACTAGGGAAAAATTAAAAGATTTGGCCATGAAGAGATCATTGGTATCTTCGGAGAGAGCAGTTTCAGTTGAGTCAGGCAACTTTACAATACTACAAGTTGCAGAGAAATGGCCATTAGGAATTGGTACAGTAAGTGCCTCAATAGGAGGGATTCTACATTACTGAAAACACAGGTCCAGCCAAAACAAACAAAACAAAAATCTAAGACCTAATCCAATATCTGATTCTTAAAATTTATTAGAACATACGAACAAAAGTGAAAATATGGCCTGTCCCAAAGTCTTAAAGTAGTTTAAAGCTATTAAAGCTTCTAAACTAGGAAGGAAATGAACTAAATGGTTTCAAGCTTCACCTAGAAACCCATATTCATAATTAGTCCATAAACTAGATACAAAGGAGGGGGTTAGAATTTGCACTGTTATCACAGTTGTTGATGGAGATGACTCCAATCTGCTTACGTGGTCTTCCTGAGCTGTTCCCTACCAAGGTTATGACTCCAGTCCAACAATAACTTCTTTAGTGCTACCTAGTTTACCTCTGATGAAGCCCAAGCAAAGAGACTGTTGTTCATTCTAAAGCAGTATCACCTTAGTTCTAAAGTCTTGGTGCCATTTTAGACTCTTGAACCTTAAAGAGCCTAAAATGGCACTAAGACTTTTTGGACACCCTATGTACAAAGTTAAATAGAATCAAAGAGAACTGCACCATTGTATGGTTTATCTTATACCTCCACTTGATGTGAAAGATAATATAAATTGTACTTAATGAGGCAGCTAGATGACCCAGTGGATAGAGAGGCAGGAAGACCTGAATTCAAACCTGGCATCTGACACTTATTATCTCCGTGATCCTGCAAGTCACTTAACCTCTGTTTGCCTTAATTCACTGGAGAAGGAAATGGTAAACCACTCCAGCAGAAAACTCTATGGACAGTATGTATGGTCCATGCAATCACAAAGAGTCAGATACAACTAAACAATGACAAAATTTTGCTCATGATTAGTAGTTATTAAAGTTTGTTATTCTTTCTGAATACTCATTTAAAAGGAATAAAGGAAGTCCCATTCTCCTTCCAACTCATTTGTTATGTGAAATAGTTTACAATCTCCACTCTTCACCCTGTCTTATTTTACATCGTTGGATTTGTGATGACTCAAGAAAGACATCATTATTTTTTAAAATTCAGAACACTCATAAAGCACTACATCTTTACTGTACTTTTGGAATCTGAGGGGTCTGGTCAAATTGGACCGTTTCTCATCTCTGTCATGTTGCAGCCTCTACCCATCTCCATTCTGAGTCAAAAATGACAAGCACAGTAATTACTAGGAACTGTGAAATTGATCCTTGGAGAAGTAGTATCTTGAGAGACACAAAATGAGAGGGCACAGAGAACATGAAACCTGTGCCTCTGAGTCAATGTATTAGCAAATCTCTGACCAACAAGAGATCATCCTCAGCCAAGTTTGAGAGAGGAAGGGGAGGGAACTGAAGCCCAGTTACTAATAAAAGCTTTGTAGTGCAGACTGCAGAATTATTTCAAGGCTCCTTGAGGGGCATCTGATTGCAAATCCACATGAAGTAGCAGTAGGAATGATTCACATTTCCTGGTAACCAAAGAGGTCATAGCTTGACCAGTAAAGTAAGTAACCTGTTATCTAAGAGCCTTTAAAATCTCAGAATTCAAGTCAACAAAGCTTTCTAAGCTATATAGTTATTCTAATCTGAGGAATGAATATAATTAAAGATGCATAGTGACTTTGGTGGCCTTTAAAAGACTGCTACAATCTAATATATAATTTATTTTTTCATATAAGATGACAATCCTAATAATATGGGCAACATGTTTACGCTATACCACTGTTTTTACCCATTTTGTGAATGTGTCTTTAATTTCTACTTGTTGAAAGCCCAGTAGAGATTTAGAGCCATTCAGCTTTCAGCTAATCAAAATTATTTGAACAGCTATAGTAATTCCTTAATAATACTACCCAATTTGTGTCAAGAATGCAACCCTGTCTTCAAATGAACAACAGTCTCTTTGTGTAGTTTCATTAGAGATGAACTGGCTAGTACTGTAAGGAGATGCCTTGGGAGTGGAGTCCTAATTTTGGTAGGTGATGCTGAATGCTCTTTCCTACTTCAGTCACCAGGACAGCAACATACTCTTCCCTCCTTCAAGGAAGGATGGCAGCCCTATTGCTCTATGTCAACAATCTAATCCCACTGATGTCATGAGAAATGCAACAGCCCAGAAGAGTCATCTCCATCACCAAATGCCATAACAATGCAAACACTAACCCTTTCCTTTGCATCCACTTTATGGGCTAATTATAAACATGGGATTCTAGTGTGAAATTTAAAATCATTCACTTCATTCCCTTGCCAGTTCAGAATGGCTCTTGTCATTCCTCCTAGTATTTTGTGCTAGTCTTTTGTTTTTAATGAAATAATTCTTAACAAGCCAATTCTACTCTTCACTTATATCTGTTTTTAAGGTTACAGTTGAGTCTTTACACAGAAATCCTCCAAATTTCACTACATTTTCCTACCCTTGTGGTACAGTGGAAATATTACTGACCCTAGAGTCAGAGGATGTGGTCAAAACTGGTTTTGGTTGATAATGGTAATACATGGAAAGTCTTCCATGACCTATCTGCTCTTTTATTCCCTTGCTGCCTTCTGCCCATTACTTCTAGAAATACATTGCAGGGCACTAGAAACCTAAACTGGAGGAAATCCCAAGATGATACAGTAGTAAGAATAACTTAGGGGCAACTCTATCCTCCCCTCAACCACAAATAAACAATTAAAAGATCCTAATATACAGGAAACAGCAAGAATATCAGACAGTGAAAGCTGAAAGAACATACCACAAAGAAATTCTTGCAGAAAATAACATCTAAGAACTAATGACTCACCATACTATTTTTCCCTAGCACTCCTACCCTTTCTGGCCTTTTTCCCCCAACCCTTTTAGGCACCTATAGTTTGAAGTCTTTTGGTATCCCTGTGTCTTCCCATCCCTAGATTGGGCAAAGATATTCCCACTACTTTTGTCCTCTACCCCCAGCCCCCCACTGCCTGAGTGCTGCTCTGGATTTGCTCCCACATTCTTAGGGCTGCTGTAATTTGGAAATCTAGTTTTGGAAACTAATCATTTTACAAGGTCCCAAGGGGAGCCCTACTACTAGGTGAATTGAGACCTGTGAATCAGGCCAGTTTCATATCCCAAGAGAAAAAAAGAGAGTGGTTATAAAAGAATGTGAAGCCTAGGGAGCAAGAAAGTGAAAGGAGGAGAGCACAAATGCACAGTTAATAAAATATAATTAATGTAGCATAGGAAGAAATAGGCAGCCAGTAAAAGGAGAAGCAGAAGGGTAAAGGAAAGGCCCACGTGCAAAGCCTTTTCAGATCAGCCCCTCTCAGCAGTATCCTGGGGCACCCTGCCCCAACACATTCATGACCGTCTTTCAGTGGCCAGTCTAGGATATGAAAAACAAGGTGATTGCAGAAAAGACGGTGGCATACGGAAGAATGGAATGGGCAAAACTAGAGAATAGGTGCTATGACAGTGATGACACAGTCTCCCTGTAGCAATGTCTCAATTGGCCATGCTCACACTCTAAAGGATACAAGTAATAAGAGTAATCTAAGGGTTTCTGCAACAATACAAATAGACAACAAGTCATGTGGGAGGGGAATAATAGCATTGGATCTTTGGAAGGGAAGAGATTGTTGGTAAACTCAGTATTATCAAGGACACCATGGAAAATCAGAACAATGATTGATTGAGGTGGTCAAAAACTGAATAAGGTAGAGAAATAAGCAAGCATTTAAAGAAAAGATCCATATCAGTGGGCAGGTTCTTCACACAAAAAGAGTCAAAAATCCCAGAAAGAAGAAAAGAAAGTGTATCAATTGATTTTTTTTTTTAGTGCCAGAAGAGAATAAAGGAAGCTCAGGGGGAGACACATAAACAGGACAGCTTTGGAATTAACAAGTTGACTTTCTTACATAAAAAAAAAATAAGTTGTATGTAAATAGTTTCACAATTTCATATCCAATTATCTTATTCTGAACTTTTTTCTTATTAGGGAAATTTTGTATTGCTTATTCCTCTTTCCCTCCCTTTCTTGATTCTCTTTTTTCAAAAACACAAATTGAGGGACAGTGAGAATGCAAAGTAAGAATCAATGGGCTAAGGCTTCCCTTCAAATTAGTCTATTTGTGCTCCTTTAGATGATATTACTGGACAACTGGGTGATTCAATGGATAGAGTACTGGCTGTGGAGTTAGGAAGACTCATCTTCCTGAGTTCAAATCTGTCTTCAGACACTTACTTGCTGGGTGACCCTGGGTAAGTCATTTAACCCTGTTTGCCTCAGTTCCTC